ATCATACACCCAGTGTGCTGGTCGGTCGGTTTGTTACCCAAACGGCAATAAAAGAGCAGCTCCTCTGTCCGCGGTAGTAGTCTCGGTCCACAATAGCATAAATTTAACTGTCATTTAATTTGTCATAATTTTTGTCGTAAATAATGAATAAATCGCAAATTTTATGTTTAACATTTTTACAAATTATTTGTAAACCGTGTAATAAATCATCACCACCATCTGGCCAAGTAAGGTGGCTTTATACATATCGAATTTGGAGTTTTTATCTTGAAATTTAGACATAAAAAAAGGCTATACCACAACCGATGGGACACCCGGTACAATTAAAAGGTGCAATAAAAACTATAAACCATGCCACCAAAATTTTAAACCTCTACGAATAGTGGAACCTGAAAAAGTTCTAACGAACCAGCTACGTGAGACATCCTGTATTTTTGCAGCACATTTGTTTAAAACGCATATTTTCGTGTGAAATACGGTTGTTTCTTAGGTTTTCGACGCACAACGACTAAATGTAATTTAAAAACAATGTCGTAAATAGAACCAGAAACATTCGGGTTTAGCCGCGTTGAGATACGTGCAGCTAAATGCGAATGTTTCTAGTTCTCGGTCTACTGTTAGTAATAGTATTGTACTAGCACTATCACTAGAACTAGCACAAGACCTAGAACTAGAATCATTTGGGTTTAGCCGTCTAGAGAGACGTGCGGCTGAACACGAATGTTTCTAGTTCTAGATCTAACGTTAGTTCTAGTGACAGTGCTATGTAGCGCTAGTTAGCATAAGATATCACTATGCTGCAAATTGTTATTACACTAAAACTCGAACTAACACTAGACCTAGAACTAGAATGAATCGGGTTTAGCTAAAAATATGGTATATTCCATACATAATGGGCACTCAGTAATTCAGCTCAAAACAAGAATTGGGTCATAATGTCTCTCTGGGTACTCTCTGGGAGATTGAACCAAAATACGCAGTGCCAAACAACTATTTAGATTAGCCGAAAGTCGCGAATTAATCGATGTGATTACAACGTTAAGGGACCTGACATGACACCGAAAGAAGAAGAGGAAGACAGTACTCACCAACTATCGGATCGTGGTTTTGACTTATTCGAAAAAAGGCATGGAAAATACGTTCCACAAATCAATTCGCAAGAAGACTGGTACAAAGTTATACAAGAGGTAACTACATAACGAAAAGATGTGCGCTTTTCGTAAGAACTAGTACTTATAGCATCCAAGATATGGACCTTGTAGAATGATTTTGCAAGAATGTTGCAAGTTTTATCGAAATAATATTGTAATAGATTTTTATGATATTACTAAGTTCTACAAATCGTTGAAATTATACCTTTTTTAAATATAATAAAATGTCAAGCCACATTTTTCAAAAATAAAAATCTTTAAACCTGCCGATGTTCAATATTTATTTTTCTATTATGTTCTCAACAGTAAAGTACAGTTCTAACGCGAAGATATTTTTGAGATAAATTATTGACCATAAAAATTTTAATATTTTCACAAACTTTTGCTGATTTTCTTAAAATCAGTGCGGTAGCTTATAAGGTTCTAACAATAAGCCCTTCATATATAGAATGGAAGAAAATTCTGAAAAGCCTAATTTACTCTCAAATAGGTAGCCAGAGTCATATAAAATTTGGGATATGCCTATTTTGGGATACGTAAGATCCAGACATTCGCAATATTGTCATATTTACAGTTTCTTTTGATATTCTAAGTTATTTTGTATTTTTAAATGCAACAGGCTGTATATTATTTCGTTATTGGAATCTTCTCATCAATTTCTAGTTCAACCAAGTTTAATACCGTATTTTCTCGAATGTAATCCGCACCTTTTTTACAAATTTTATATGCTCTAAAATCAAATGCGGATTACAATCGGGTGCGGATTAGATTCACAGTCGTATAGTTGCAATTTGGAAAATAGTAAAATAAAATCACATTATAACAATAACACTTTATTAAGGGTTTTAGAACGATATTTACATATTTATGTATCATTTTTTCCCGTATTACGTCATCTTCGGATCAATTCGGATTATACAAAACTTCTTAAATGATGTTATAATATTGTTTTCAGGGATCGTTTTCCATGTCGCCTACACTCACTGAGCAAGTTCAGAAGCTCGTTTAATTGCTCCCGATTTTGTTAATTCTCGAGTTTGTTAATATACATATACACAGGTTTAGTATGGATGTCATTCCACCAGGTATTATTATTATGACAATAAGTCTAAACCAAGGGCAATCAGTCTATTAATATCCTTATTTAATAATCCTTCTGGTCTACGACTCCATACTTGTCTTAACCATTCCATCATCAGCTTTTCCATTATGCATCCTTTTTGTTGTGGCCTAACTAAGACGCCATTCGGGAAGTCTTTCAGATTTCAGACTGGTTTTTGTCTCAATCAATGTTATGCGCAATTTTTCGCAACCACTCGTTTATAAAGAAATATCCCACACACCTCTTCTTTCCAGTGTGTAATTGGCTGGCATATCCAGATATACTGCCATTTCGTCGGCATTCACAGTTTGAGACAAATTGAAATTTTCGTGAAAATCATTAGGAGCTTTTGGAAAATTGTGGTTCTGCGCCTCAAGGATAACACCATTCGGCGCATAAATCCCACAGTCCAACCTTTGCTAGTATTAAATATTTTTTAGTCCCTCCTTTCGTTTTTCTTGAGAGAACTAGAAAACTGCCTCGTCAATTTCATGAAATCGTCTTTTCTTTGGCCCGGTAAATTTTTTGCACGATGCCTCACAGTTTGCAATAGCTGCCTTGTCTTTCCGCAACAAAAATTGTACCAGCTTTTCGATTTTCTTAACGCTAACTTAATAACATCTCTTTAAACTTCGCTGTATAGAAGAACCTCTTCGATTTTTGCTACTTTTTTTTATAATTACGCTATTATATGTATAATTAAGCACACACCACGTTCCAGCTACTACGAGAGCAGTATATGAACTGAATTCGTGATAGACATTACTATTTATTTTTAAAATTATATTTATTTTCCAATTTTTTCTGGCTTGGCAAATTTAAAGTCTAGTCTAATAAAAACTCGTCGTAAGCAAGGTTTCTTTAGGTGCGTCAGTCAACGAAAAAAATATATATTTATGGTTAACAACAAGCATCGCATCGTTTTGGTTTTGTCGAATTACTCAAAGAAAGATGCGGATTACATTCGCAAACTAAATTTTTTTAGCACTATGAATTTTTAAAATCGGGGTGCGGATTAGATTCGAGTGCGGATAAGATTCGAGAAAATACGGTACTTGAGATTAGAGGTAGTCGAAAAGATATGATATAAAAGATATATATTAATTCTAGTATACTTATAGTGATTTTGCTATTAATAAATTATTAACTGAAATGTTAGAAGTTTGACAGGTTTTGAAGCGTTCTGCCAAATTATAGCGTTTCTTATATTGGTTCTTAATGAAAGAGAGCGAATTTGTTCTAATGATGAGAGGGTACAGCAATATAACAAGATCTTACAATGTATTAGCTAACTTGTGCAACGGTACATATTCCAATCGTCCTCCTTTCTTTTGGGCGATGGTGCAAACATCTGTAAGGCGTTTTGGGGCAACTGGAACCGTAAAAGTCCATCAAGCGAAGAGATCGATCAATGTGTTGAATGACAATAACACTTTAGATGTAATGCAAAGCTTTGTTGAGAAAGATATGAAACGCTACTTAGAAATGAAACATACAGTGAAACCATGGTTTCGTATCAATATCAACCATGGTTTTAATAAGACAGAGCGTAATCTTGTTTTTGCGTAAATCGGTATTATCTAGATGAGGGATTTCCTAGACAATAGTTTGGTAGACTAGATAGTATTGAATTGCTTTCTCGTTAACTTTATCGCAATTCTAAAGACTATTTTTATGGCGGATACTTGAAAAAGCGAGTTTATAAAACTAAATCTGGAAGTCGTGCAAAGTTAAGGCAACCTAGGCAACGAATTAAAATGTATACTCCACATTTTGAATACTTAATTATGTAGTCATTATGTATTTTAACAATTTAGTTGTTTAAGTTAATACGTTACAGTTTACTTATTTATATACTTATACGTATATTATCCTTTATATGACATATACATAATATATAATTTACACACTAATCACACCTTCCTCCTCCTCTACTTCATCACCTCTGCCATCCACGCTCTCCGCTTTGTATTTCCTCTGTTGAGTACCCTACTTTGATGTAATATTCCCTTCTTTCTTGTTGTCCATATTCCTCCACGTCAGTTTTTATCTTTCTTCAACACTCCCAAAATCTTAAAGAAAAATCTTATTTGGTTCCTGCTTCCACCCTCATCTTCTCCAGCTTCGAATCCTCTCTCACTATATATCTCGGAGTCTCCTTGCTCAACCCCAAAACCCATCTCCAATATTTCTCGTGGATCACATCCTCCATCATCTTGTATTAATCATCATCTTGTATTAAAAATATCTTGTGATATTTTTTACTTTAGTTCTTAAGAGCTTGAAAGTTATGATTGTTCATATATATCAATACAATTCTACTTCAGACCACTATTTATTTTGATATGACATTTATTTCACTATAATTATGCTATACAATAAAATTGGTTTTATCAAAATTATAACTCTTCGTAATACCAGCTCTGATTATTTTATGACTCAATGCCGTAAAGTGTTAGATAACGACCACATTTTAGTGACTTAAATCCTACATTACGAATCAAAATAAAACAAATGTAATATATGACCCTCGTGGCTTAAATTCCGTAATTATACCGGTTATATAAAAATAAATATATCACACGTTACTAGTAAAAATATAAATTTTCGCAACTACCTTTGAACTTCAATTAAGTAACATTACTTTCTATTTTTTAATCAATTTCTTTCAATCACACTTTTTTACCATGTAATTGTTTAATGGATTTTACAACTTTACTTGATTAACGATTTAATTTGTTTCGTAGGTTTTTATTTTTTGGGTTTTGGAATTACGACCGGTGCGAATCACCACAAGGAATCGTCGTTATGAGTAATTATAAACCGACGTTTCTGAAACCGGCCGACTCTTCAAGTTACTTAGATAGAAACGAACCGAACTTGATCGAGTCCACCAACTTCGTTTACAATCGATACGTCAGCCAGACGGTACAAGCTCAAAGGCAAAAGTTGCCGATCTTCAACTACCGGAATCACATCCTGTACCTGTTAGAAAAATACCAGACGCTCGTTTTGGTTGGAGAAACCGGGTGCGGAAAAAGTACTCAAATACCACAAGTAAGTTACTTAGCAATTTTTTTATATAATTTTTGAGATTATCGTTGATTATCTAGGTTTTTATTATTATTAATCTTAAGTAAGTAGGATTATTGTTATTATGAGTGGATTTAAAATTAAGTAACCGATTGAAACTTTTTATCAATAAAATATTCTATTGATTTTTATAGATATAAATAACTTGATATTGATGAAGAATAAATTCAATATTAATAAATACGTATATTAAACTAAAAACTAAAAATAGATTAATGAAGTACAACTTGCCCACGCGCTAATAGCATCAAGAAGCAAGTTTTTCGCTAATAAATATCTCTGATGTTATAGGTCAAAAAAGTTCAGGTTTAATGAATGCGACTTTGTGAAAAAAATAGAAACAATTTTTTAAAAAGTGACTTGCAGATCTCTGTACTAAATTTATAATTTCTGTTGAATTCAGTGAACGTTCGCTATCATCTCAGATTTTCGAGATAATACCAGTTATTTTTAGTAATTTCTGAAACAATTAAAATTTTTTTGACATTGATATCTTTCAAACCATTCAATAAACAAAATTAGGGATATGTTTAAATTTAATTTATAATCAAAAAGTTGATTTACGTCATTCAATATACAAATAATTAAGAATATGTCAAATACTAGAACAATATATTTAATTACCTCCACATACACATATACGGGAGGGTACATGAAATATGTCAACGCCATGCACACAATGCATAATCACCTCTATTCTGTAACTAAATTGGAATCAAGATCGATCATCGTAGTGGGAAAGCAATTATTTTGTAACTGGAGTACATTCAAAACTTATGGCTTCTTCGCCTTGATATACTGGGTGGTCCAGCGCAATACAAAATTTTAATTTAATAACAATAACGATGAAGATGTAAATATTTCATACTTCTAATTAACTATATCTAAACATATCAAATTATAAACATTTCACTTTTAAGCAGTTCCAACAGTATATATCTTTATGGTCTTAATTCTGATGGTAAATTTACATAAAAATTTGATTTACTGTAACCACATTTCGAATAATGTGTAAGTGATACGAACGCTAAATAGGGACGTAAAGTACAAATATACACAATTGGAGTCAAATCTGCAGAGTGATGTCTAGAATAAATTTTATTACACATTAAAAACACATTCTAAACTGTACACTGAAATCATGAAGTTGCTTTGACTTCATACTATTCCCATGGCTCTCTCGCACCACATGTCGCGTTTATGCACTTTATGCACATTAAAATTTATAAATAACGAAGATATAAACGTCTGAGCATGTGGTTTTTGGTCATATCCTATTATGCATTGACCACTGAAATATAAAATATGTTAATGGCGATAATATAAATAAATAGAATTATATTATATTAGGCGTCTTTAACTACTTAATGCTCTTTTTTTTAATAAAAATTGATCTTTTTCAAATTTTTATTTATAGATTTTACATCTTGTAACAAATTGTATGGTTCAAAAGAAAAGGTCAAAATGAAAGATAAATGAGATAAAAAATTCAGAAAAACTTACTCTAATACACAAAATGTTGTCATTTTATTGTAAATTATTTTTAGATAATTTTAAAACAAAATTAACTATAATAGCAAAAATTAGAATGATGATAAAATAGAAATAAGGTTCCAAAGTGAGACCACCTTCACAATTTGGGCACCAATAATGCCTTTCCCTTAGGAAACGTTTTCCTATGTTATTTCGCTTGAAGCAACAAACAAGCATTTGTATAGGAGTATTTTTATTTCCAGAATTGATTTCCAAAAGTGACATACTGTTAGTCTCATTTTATTTGGAGCTTTACTACGATGACCGTTACAAGAATAAATGAGCAAACAGTAATTATCTACGTATTTTTCTATAAGTTGTATCCTAAACTGTAAATCTGTCATTCCAAAGCGTAAGATGAAAAAGAAAATATACCTAGTATTTTTTCCACTTTGTCAATTTATAATCAATAACCCTGAACGAACTGTTTTGGGATTTTTTTATATTCCTGGGCAAACCTCTTCCATGTGATCTCACAGTCTCGTATGTGTATGATACGATGTATGTAAATCAGTAGAATCAAATTCAATAAAACCATAAAAATTGTTACTACTTGTCTTGAAACTCATTATAACTTAAATTATTAAGCCTCTTGTGATGCGGATGTTCAGCTTTTATGTCATCTCATAGAAGGTTTTCCAGGAAGTCTTTTGATGTGTTTTTCTTTCTTTGCCCACTTCGCGCACCTCTTGTCCTCCAGCCTATTGACATGGTCTCTCCAGTATCTTCGTCGTGATCTAGTGAATCTGATAACCTCTTAGAACCCTCGTGTTACACCACTCCTAATCTGGTCATGTAACGATACTCCTCTAATAGATCATATTGCTTTTATTTCTACACTTCTAACCACACTTTTTCTTTTAGAAGTTCTGCCCAGATTGGTTGTGATTGACTTCTTAAGTAATTGTCGTAGTACGTATATCGCATCTAAGGTTGATCGATATTTTCTCTAAACCCTTGATTTTCTTCACTTATTTCAATTTTGTCTTTTTATGGAAGATTCCCACTTCTTTGATGATATGGAATGTATATATGTCTATTTCTCAATACATTCCACATCTTTTGTCCCCCGTATAGGTCATGTTCCATTTATTACAGAATTTTCTCCAATATCACCTTTTCACTTTTTTATTGCTGTATTCACTCCATTTCTGATTACTTATGTTCGTCTGTTGTTCTTACACTTGTATACCTTAAATAAGCATCATTCTTTTCATTCTCAGTTTCAGAACTTATCAGTCAATCACCTAACAACTGAATGTCCTTCTCTCGTAAACTTTTTTTTATTTGAGTTTTAGGCAAAACTCGTCATTTAAAAAACATAATATTTAGTATCAGTAGTACAAACAGTTGTGGCTAAGATAAGTTCATTTTTACATCAAAAAAGGTGGACCAAGAAGCTGTTTCTATCTCTTTAGATCGTCTGTTTTACAATCAAATGTCTTTTTATATGCAGACTTCGAAAGGTTGGCTGACTTGACAATGAAAGTTAACCAATCCCAATCTAGGATGAATTTGTCTTATTCACTCGCGGCACATACATTTGGCAAGTAAAAGTTTTAGGTTTCTCTTTCTGTTCTTTAAACCGATTTCTTAAGTTTTAATATCTTCTAAGTTTGCATACATTTTTTTGCAACTCTAAACATAAGGAACTTAACTCACTTCTAATAATAATATTCTTCATCTACGTATAATGGATTAACATTTTAGATTTCTTCAAATATAAGCACTTAACTCAAAAAAAAACTTTTTTTAAACGTACATATAAATGTGGGATATACTATAACCTTGAGAAATATCCATCGGAACAAATGTTAATGTTAACAAACAATTAATTCTGTTTTTGTAAAATAAATGTTTAAATTAGAGTTATGTCTTAAGTTAAAGTATAATTATACAAGTTATAACAGTTTTTGTTATACAGATAGTGTATCAAGTGCAAAAGCAATTTTCAAGTTTTAAAACAAATAGCAAAAACGTAACAATTTAACAAATGATAAGGTTAAGTGTAAAATATTCAACAAATTTTAATAAACCTATTAATCATTTTTAGATCTAAAAGGTCAGAATCTGTTATTTTAGCAGAAAATTGTTAAAAATAGCTGATGTATTTTTCTAGAAAATGTAAGTTGATAGCGAAAAACTGACTGAAAATTACTAGTCATTATTCAAAAACGCCAGCTTGTCAATCAATAAAAACGACAATAGAAAATGTCTCTTTTAACTTACATATGGGAACGCATTTTTAATAGATACTAAAGACTGCACCTGGCATATTAAATATTAATCCTAAAGACTACCTTCATAGGAGAAACCATATGGTATATATGACCGTTCCAAAAGTAATTTAAAAGAAAATATGTGTGTAGAGAAAAAGTAAATAAGACGTTCATTTTAATAAAAGTTATATTTAAATGAATCTGAATTGCAACAAAATTAACTGCCAAACATTTATGTTCCTTGTAATAAGGTAATAAGGAAGTTCATAAAAGTAACGTTCACCGCTATAGTGAGATCGTAATATTTTATTTTGATTAAAACCGTTACAGTAAAAATTTTCCAAGGATGGGAATATTTTAGGGAATTTAAAAAATTAAAAGTATTCAACAAGGTTACATAAAAATAAAATAATTTATAACAAAATACAGTGAAATTCCCCTAATTCGAATCACTAAGGGAGCGGAAAAAACTTCGAGTTATGGAAAATTCGAGTTAGAGAAACACTTTTAAACACATTTGAAGCCTAGTCAAACGCTTGAGCTTACGAAAATTATTCGACTTAGAGGATAATTCGAGATATAGAAGTTCGAGTTAGGAGAATTTCACTGTAATTTATATTCTAAATAATTATATCTTACAAATATTTCTTTTAATATATCTCAAAAATTCATATAAAATTTAAAACTTACTTAATTTTTTTTTTCTTATGTATATTTATACACATAATATTTAATAACCTTGTTGAAAATAGACAAGGTTAAATTTTTATCCCGTTTTTGTTTGATATGTCGTTGAAGGTCAGCAAAGTTCTTTAAACAATCATTCAGTTAAGTGATTAAAAATCACCTGAAAAAGTTATAAATCATTTTATAACGTTTAAAATAGCTTTGGAGTCATTTAAAAATTATTAAAACCGTTTTGAATGTGATCAAAAATTGTCTAAAACAAAATCAATCACATTTAATGCTGAAATTGTCTTAAAATCAATTATTTTAAAGTATTTAAATAAAAGGTTCAAGTTTAGAATATATTATATTGGTCTTTAAACTTTGTAAATCATTAATGTATTGGTGAAATTTTTGTGGAAAACCTTGAAAATTAATTGGTGTTGAATTGAAATCAATTCTATTTTTTTTGGAATAACGTAACCGAATATAGTAAATAGCTTATCAAATTTATCAATGAAGTTTGTTGCATATAGATAATGGAAACGTACTTAAGCTATCGTAGAAGTTATCGCAACTGTTGCACTTAGAGGCTAAATGTACTCTAACTTTTCTAAATTATTTTGAAATATATGGGCGTTTGTTAATTTTGACAGAAAAGACACATTCTGTCAAAATTCTTTAACATTTTCCATAATAAAAAGCTATGACATGACTTTGGATACTTGCAAATAAATTTATCAGTACCATATTTTTGTTTTGAATAAATTTGATAAATTTTTGCAGTTGTCAGAAAAAAAGATACACTCTTTTACACTGGAATTGATTTCATTTTTTCCCCTGTACCTTCATCGTATATCTAGTAGTGTGATTATTTGCGCAGTATATAGTGAAGTTATAAACCCACAGTTGTTTCTTATAAAACCCATTTCCCCTTAGTACTGCTGGCAAAGGTAAATTTTGTTGAAAACTTCAATCCCATCATTAGTTTTGGATTCTTTAATTTTTAAACTAATTTCCTTATAAATTACCATACAATAAACTACCATTACAATATTATTTGTTCTTAAATGAAGCTATTTTCGCCTTTATAATATCTTTAAAGTTTCTTTTTCACACTTCTTAACCCTGCTGGTCTGTTCACACCATTAAGATCTTATATATAATCTAGAGTGCGTATGTGGTGGTGGTGGGGGTAATCAGAAAGTCAGTCATGTTGGATGTACCGACCTGAACTTAGTTATAGTTTCAAGTATCTATTGTACGTATAATTATAACCTCACAATTCTCATAAACATATTGTTATTTGTATTAAAATTTTATTTTTGTTGAAGATTTTCGAATTCTTTTTGTTTCACATATGTTTTTTATAATTTGGTAGGTTGGAAGATTGTTTACAACAGCCCATAAAATGTTTCTGGTTACTTGACTTGAAATTAACAATTGAAGTTCAAGTAAAGTTTATTATTAAGGCATTTTCCGTTCTTTTAAAGTAAACTAACAATTTTTTATAAGCAAAAGGTTAACGTGATTAATCAGAATTGTTTAAAATATTTTCTTCTTAGTTTATAGAGTAGTAGTTTGTCGCACATTTATAACGGAACAAGATGCACTTCCATTGGTTTGAATTCTTTGCACAATATTTTGCGATTCCTCTCTTCTTGGCATATGTGTTCTGCTTCCTAATTCTTCTAAAAATATTCTTCTTTTAGTTAGCTTGTTCTAATTTGATCTATACTCCTCCATAGAGCAAAGGCATTATAAGCTGAGGTATCAAGTATATTATAGAATACTATAGTCCGTCCGTCAAAAGAAGTCCACTGCGTCATTAATTTATGAGGTTATAGTTATAATAGACTTGTATAATATATTGTTTTCTTTGTTTAATACACGTAAAAAAAAGAGACGCAAAAAGTTAATACAAGTCTATTATAACCCCATAAATTAATGACGCAGTGGACTTCTTTCGACGGACGGACTATATCATAGGTCAGCGATTTGTTTTACGCTTATGTGGTTATCATGTGGTTATCAGCTGATCTAGAGTATCAACAGCTCCTTTTGTAGCGTTATAGTCTGATATTATTTGGGGGTTTTTGTCATCCTTGGTACTAATTTGTTTGTCGTGGTGTAAGGTAGACATCAGAACTACGTTCTTGTTTCTTTTGGGAATATAGTTGACTACGGTAGTGTCATTCGTAAAATAAATGAAAGAACTATATACTTCTTTATTTACCATGGACTTTGGAAGTTCAGGCTTGTTTTTTCTTATAGTACCCAACATCGTAATTTTGTTTTTCAGAAGACACTGCCCCAGATTGTAAGACATAAAGAAATTATCGAAAGTTAGATGGTGACCGCTGAGTTCGCTACTAAGATCGCATACAACCCGTACTATCTAAATTTTTCCAATTTTCACCGTAAACCCTTCCTCGAGATTTGTCATTTCAATTATTGTATTTTCTACAGCATTATGAAATGTAACTTGAAATGACGACTTGATGTCACCAATGCGGCTACTGGCATATTTTGTAAGTCTTGGTGTTTGGTGTATTACATTGGCAGCAGAAAAGCGACCACGTTGCTGCGGCTGTTTCGACTTCCATTCTATTTTTCCATCCTTTGAAGAACAACTTTGCACATTTGTACTTAGATGCATAGTATCCACTTCACCATCAGAGCTGTCACTTTCAGATGATCTTCATATTCGGAAATATCTTCATTTCTGTCAGATGCTTCAATATACGCTTATAACTCTTTATCAGTCAAAGGTCTGCGACGTACCATGTTGAATGTAAAAGCCAATACCGAATCATAACTGCATCGATGCCTTGTTTTATAGTCTCAACATCGTTAGCAAGCACAGACTTGTCAACGCACGCGTGTAGTGAACGCTTATGAAAGTATTCATATGGATATAGGCTATAAGAATCTATGGTCGCAGATACAAGTACAGACTTGTTTCTGTACAGTATATACATGTATGTATATCTAAAGTTTTTACTATATTTTTGCTTCAAACAATATATTTTAGTTGAAAATGTAATAAAATAAAGAACGATATATGTCTAACATTTGAAAGTATACTAAAAAAATACAAATAATAAAACAAAATTTAGGATTACATCTTCTTTCGGGTCAAATATACCCGAACAGTATAGCAGGGTTTTGGTTTTCTAATCAGGACATTTTTAGATTAGGAAAGTTTATCATTTTCATTAAAGTGATGACATTTGCATTTTTTGTCCTACTGTAGTGAAATACTAAAGTAGGAAAGTTTCAATCCACTTGGTTTATAACAGGATCTAGTATTTTATATGATTCCATGAATACTTTTAGGAGCAATTATATTTCAATACAGGGATCTTTCTTGTAGATATTCTACTAAACTTTCAACTCTACGTTTTTCTACTCCATAAAGGGAATAAAAAGCCTTTTTTTAAGTACACAAGAGTTTGCCCTTCTCTTATTTTCGATCTACATTTCTGAATATTGGACGAACTGATATAATTACTAAAATGGATGTCCTGTTTTTCTTTATTTCCCATTGCATTAAATCTACTAAGTTTAATACTATTCTGCCATGATATTAAGGCTTATAGTGATAACAGAAAAACATTTTCACATATAGTTCCTTTTCATATAGTCGCATTTCCACTTTATGAACAAACTATAATTGCATCGGACCACTCAGCATGATGAAAAGTTGAAACTGATCTTGTATTTACATTCCATCTTGGCCTATATGCCAGTAAGCCGATACAGCTGCTTGTCTTTAATATCTAACGGAATATTGGTCGGAGCAATCTCGTTCTTGTACAAAAAGAAAGAAAATATTGTATAATATCTGAGTATTTGCAACGTTGTCAGTCCACCCATTTCTTCGGTGTCCCACTTGATCTGTTTCCGAAATAATATCAACATAAATGTCGCTTTCATGTTGGCTAATACTTTACTGTTATCATAAAAGATCTTTGTATCTATCTCAAAAATTACTCACATCACAAAAGTACTCAAACCTATTACTACGAGCAGTGTCAGATATGACACAAGTTATACAACCATTAAAGATTGGCTGATTCATTATAACAACTGTCCAAACTATTTTCAGTGATATCAAGAAGAAGAACCTACCTTGCGATCGAAATTTTTCTAAAGGAATCACGCGTCATTTCCACATTTCCTTAAAATAAGGAATTTGATCTGAGAACACGAACACACAAAACATTAGTTTTTGTCCAGCACGTTGCAATCTATGCTCTCCAGCAGATTTGCATGTGTAAAAGCGAGTGTGCCAAATATGAAATAAATCGCAGGAATGGCAAAACTTTTCATCAAATTTGTAACAACATTTTTGTTAGGGTAACATATTTACCACAAGAAGCAATAAGGGGTTAAGAAAATATCTCTTGCAGCTGAGGCTCTGCAAAGTGTAGACGAGTTTTAAGATTATATGGTATTAACAGTTGGTATCAACAGTAGATGTTATAAAACTTTTGAATCGGAACTTCATTAAGAGTACGTACTACAACATAGTACAAGCTGCAGATATTGTCTTAGGTTTTCTTGATATTTTTAATCTAAAGAGCCGGACAAGAAACCAAGCACGCTATTCCTGCTTCATCTTTGAATCGATAAGGAATGTTTATACGATGTTAATCTTTTAATGAGCAACAAAAATTGTGGAAAGGATATCTGTAATAACATTTTCTAATGATATTTAGATAAAATGTGTAAAATTTGCTAAAGAAAATTACTTAAATTACCCATTTTATCAGGGTATCTATTATAATTGATTGTTTATTAAATTGAATTACTCTGCAGATTTCAATCACAGTATTTTCTTCATTACTCATTTGATTACTTTTTCAAAAAAGAGAATAAGTTTTTTCGTTGTCGTACAAACTTTCAAAATTAAAGTAGGTTCTAAAATATTTAATGTCTTATGAGAGGGTATTGACATACGAACAAATAATATTGAAGTAAGAAATCGATGAACCCATGGAAACTTAAGGTAGTACACAAGAAGTGAATCGAAGGTAATAATAAAATTGAGTATATTATAATCAATATTTCAATCAATCAATTTATAATCTTATAAACAATATTTGTAATAAGTGATTTTTTTGGCAAAAACTGTACTTAATGGTATTAACATATCACTATAAATTGTTGTTAATATAATAGACTTATCAGCGTTTTTGAGATGAGCCACTCAGATTACCACCAATGGCATATTTTTGAATCATCACTTATCCAACGATATGTTATAAAAATTTATATTTACGCATTATCTTTACCTTTAGAGATAGATTGATATCAAACAGTATTTATAGTTAGTCACGAATCGCGCCATGTGTTGTACGTACATGATCAAGTTACAACGCTGAGTGCTAAATTTGGTTTAAATCCCATACAAACTGAAAAGAACAATATTTAATTGAAATAGTAAATTAAAGTAATAAAGTAAGTAACATTAAAAAATTGTAATATTTTTAATATTAATTAATTACGATTATGATTTCCTCGAAATTAATGTTTGTAACAGATAAGAATATAAAAACAAATAATACCTCAATAAAAGTTTACTTTTATTTTGCTATGTTATTAAATATATTGAGCTCAAACATATTTACTTTACTTATAGTTAATCTTAAATACTTACAGGTCATTCCACAACGAATATCTTCTATTTTAATTTAAAACAAAAAAATTATTACAAAAATGAAAGATATATTTTCTTATCAAGGAGCGTAGCGATAGTATTATATCACTTCCAAACTAAATAGATTCAAATGTATTACGTAAACTTTCGAGACTGATTCACCGTCCGCAAAGAAATACCAAGAGGTGTTGAAAATTGTGATTTTAAACCTCAGGACAAGATCAAAAAATAATTATAGAAAAAACATGATTGGGCCATCATCGGAGATTAGCAAGTTGCTGCTTGTGTTGCTACTCTTCTTGTTAGCTTGGTACGTCTACATGGACGTCAATTTGTACTTTAGGATCCACAATTACCCTATCGACGATGAAATCACAGATAATTCAACAATTACCTACAGCCAAGTTGCTTGGATCAACTGTAAGATATCACCGATGTGCGATATAACCCCTAAAGCTCTACTATTGGATCAAACTAATCATTATCTTTTCGGTCCATTGGTGAAGATTGTTGATAAATTGTTTAAAGTATCTGATACTCAATGGATTACGCCGAATTTAATTAGTTTTTTTCATGTTTTCGTCGCGGTTGTGAGTGCAAAGTGCTTTTCTAGTGATAGTTTAGCTTATAGAAGGATCGGGGTGGTTTTATTCGAATTTAGGACATTTTTGGATGATATGGATGGTCACGTAGCACGTGAACGTAAAAATATTAAAGGTGAAATATCCGAAGTTGGCACTAGCGGTTATTACATCGATGGTATTTGTGACGGTTTAGGAACAATAGCTTTATTAGTCGGAGTTTTCTTATTTTTAAAAAACAATCCACCAAGACGCGGTTACATGCAACTTCCTACCATAATAAACGACAGTGAAACCACCGTGTATCGGGTAAAAGTAACAACTAAAAAAGTTGTTTTAAATGTGGTTTGTTTCGCCGCCCAATTACTATTAAGTTCGATGGGTTGGAACCGGTACATAGCTATTTATCAGGACATGTTAGGTAAAGAAAGCGGGGATTGGTTGAGGCGATGCGTGATTTTAAAAAGTTCGTTCTTTTTTATTGTGGTTATGGTGTGGCGAATAGTTAATGTTCACAATTTAATGCATTTCTTGCTATTATCTGTGTTTTGCGATAAACTCTGGGAGTTCCTACGGTTTATGCAATATATTGGTTTTGTGATTGTACTCGGTGCTATTTGCGTTGCCGAAATACATATTATGGATGTTAAAAATTTTTTGTATCATGATTTATCAAATGCTACGATGTACTAATAATTATAAGTGATAAAAAGTTTTATTGGGTAAGATTGAAAATGCAATATTAGAAGATTAACCATGTTTTGCTCAAAGAAATTATGAACATTTCAATGATTTAAAATCTAATTCCTAATTATTAGGCATTACTTTTATATCTTCCTTCCTATATCTGTCTTCTATTTATTAAAACATTAGGCCCCGCATCTGAGGCTTTGCATCGAACGCACAATATTGTTTCAAAACAACAACTTTTTCTTGGAAAAAATACCTCGGAAATAAGATAACAGAATAACTATCTGTATTACTGGTGAATAATATTTGTATATCATACGGTGTGTATCACATAATCTCCTAAATCTAATATTTTAAAAACGGGTAAAGATGTTTACGTTAAAAAACGTAAATATCTTGAATTTTAGGTACTATTATTTTTTTATTGTACAAAAAGAATGTGGAAAACAAAGCTTTTATATGCATATGGTGTACTTAAAACTGCACAAGTATTTTATTTATATTATTATGAGAAAAATCTTAACATTAACCTTCTTCAGTAATGATGTATATCATATAAGCATATAATGATGTATATCAAAATTTCAAAATTCCTGTTTTCACTTCAACTCTGTAGTTGACTAGTGATATTTTTTTAAATAATGCTTTTTTAATACCTTTCTAATACTTTTTACGTTGTAATATTATAGTCGAGCCTGAGGAAGATTAATAGTTAACTGAAAAATGTTGCACTGAATAATTTAAATAAAAAATACGTTTGTTTGTTACTTTTTGGTTTTATTTTATCTGTGTATGTGTTAAATAATGGTTATTTTAGGATGACTTAAATGTTACTCCCAATGTCTACTTTACAAAACGGACAGTGTCATCTTGTTCGCTATGGTTTAATTCTTGTCGTCGTACAAGAATTAAACCTTGCGCAATGAATTCTTATCCCATGTATAAATATATGTGTTATTTTATCTAGTCGCTTTTTCATAGCTCTCTTATTAGAGTTAGGCTTTCATCATTCATTACAGTTATATCTTTGAACTCAATTAGAATTGAATGCCATCTTCTTGATTTAGAAGTCATTTTGTAGCATAATATTTACACATCAGATTTGTGACACAACCCATTTATTGTAATTAAGTAGTATATACAAATTAAATCCTTGTAAAATTGCGGAGAAAATACAATTGGCTTTTTATTTATTCGTTCAAAATTGTTAATTGTGCTAATATTAATATTCTGTGCTAATTCTCCAATTGGTGTCATCTCTATTCATGTTATCATCAGCTTTGAATTTTTTTTTGAATATGCTTCCATGTCTTCGTGATCGTACCACAAATTAACGTAACTTCGTAATCAGAATTATAGTATTGATTTCAAACTTGGTAAAAAATGATCTCGTTTATGGCAGTGGTTTCCAATATCTCCAATCCTCTGTCCTAATAACAAAAATTTCATCCTTCTGAATTTTATTGAATATTATAAATGTAATGTTCTAAATAATGTCTTTTCTTCATCTCTTGTTGCCCCCTCTTTGATTGTCTCTTAGATTTTCGTTATTCTTTGTGGACTGGATTCAACGTTCTCTAATTGTTCGTTTTTGCCATTCATATGACTCGCAATTATCTCTTTCGGTCATACGGCATTTGCACTCTGTAGTTTGTCAGACCCCATTGCTTATATCATCTGTTCAAATCTGTTTTTTTTTTAATACAATAATGTTGCTATTCTCAGCAATATTGTCCCATCGATAAATCATCAAATAATTTTTAGTTATACTATGTTGTGTGCAATGAGGTGATAACATGTCTAACAGTGTCAAAAAAGTGTCAATGTTGAAGACATTGACACTTTGTACCATGCGTCCCGTTTGACCATTACTACTTGGGTAGAGGATACAACCAAAGCTGATTTAATGCCATTCGTTTAAGATGTTTAAATTCTTCAAAAGTGAACACTGTGCTATTATCTGAGACAATGCCTTCTGGAAAACCGTTAGCTACACATAATTAATTAATTCAACACAAAAATTGTTTGAGCATAAATTATTATCAGGATTGTACTCTTTTTTTATGGAATCGACAAAATCTGAATATAGTTTCAATTAAGTAGTTTCTGTCCACTGCCATGAATGTACTTGTGCCTTAACTGCCATATTTAGAGTTCCTTATTAAACTTTACAGAATTAGCTTTTTCTTCAATCGATTCCTGGCGATTCATTCTAGGATGTAAAGCATGAAATTCCAATACTTCTTACCATCCTTCTGGTTGAAACTGCATGCGTGATCCCCGTGGGATCTTCCCAATTATTAGATTACTGCAAAATCATCGGACATTTTTTAAATATTTCCGGTTTTATATCTTTACTATAAAAAAAACATGAATTAGAATAATTATTCCTAAGCGTAATCGCCATCTACTTCAATAACTGCTTTTGATTTACTTAGAAGCGGCAATCTATGTTCTCACATCGACTACAAAATTACCTAAATCATCATAAACTTTGTTCAGCAACTAATATTTAGGAAAATATGGCACATATAATTGTAGTTGCTAAGCCTTATTAGCTATACATTGGACAACACCGCATGCGGACGCATATTGTCATGGTGATGAAGGATATGGATCCTTTTTGTCTTGACAGTGTGAAGTCGACCAAATATGTATCGTTTATCTCGAATTGCTCGTTTTATCAAGAATTATCCACTGTTTGCAATGATTTCCCAATAAATGATCCCCATGTCCCACCAAACACACCATATTGCCTTCTTACAATTAATATGTTTTAACATTCTTTTTGGTGAAACTCCAAACCACACATACATTGACTAGATCCTTCAGAAACTAAGCTTGCTCGTTTGGTTGCAGCAATTCGGTGAATATTTAGACATGTTCGGCTTCATTGTTGTCCAAAAATTCGTGAGAAAACTAATTTCTATACCTACATGATTTTGAGACGACGAACGATGGTAGAATGGTACACATTGAAATCTTCTTTCATGACTGTCAGAAGTGCCTGATTATCGAAATTTGATGGTTATATTTGATATGTTAAAATTATGCATCGACTTGATAGCGTTCTTTGAATTTTGTCACAAATGTTTAACATTCTCAGCTACTTCTTTGGGATTTTCGTGTAATTTTCCAAATTTAATCCTTCGCTGTAGCAATCTTTACATTTTTTGTTACTCTTATACAATTTATGCAGATGATTTTCCTAACATCAGCATATTCCATGTTCGTGGTCGTTCTCTAAACTTATTCCTTTCTGTAGTTGTTAATGCATGGCTGTGGTACATTACAACAATTTCTTCACTCGTCAATTTAGCTGTGATGACTAATGGCATGTTTTCGTCATAGTTCCTTAATTAGTAAGTCTTTCAATTTATTAAAAGCTTTTATTTATTTACTTTATTTTTCAAATTTTTTGTTTCAAACCTTTTTCAAACCTCAATAATGCTTGTAATTCCAGTTTGTTAGTTCATTCAGGTGTTATTCCTTGTAATTCCTTTATAACTCTAATTTACAATAGTTTACATATAAACTACACTTTGAGTTTCAGAAGCTTCATCGTCCACTGCCAGAAATCTTATACGCTTTCAGCATTATCGATTTATATCGATATCAAATTACACTGCCCCATACCTTGATATCTTCCTACCTTTCCGTTAAGTACTTCATGGTATTCGTGGACGTGATCTGATGTATTGCTAACGGTGGAATTATCTTTTCCAGTTACAGAAATGATTAATCCAATCAATTTTTGCTATATGATTCGACTTATCAGTTGTTTTTTAGAACAATGATAGGAAATTTTGGTTTTTGTCATCTTCGAAGATCGCGTAATCTCTAGATGTATCAACTACTTTATTTGGTTTGTTTACTGATCATTTAACACTAAAAATATCTTGAAATTCTTTCTCGCAGTTTATAGTCGGTTTCAAAAATTGGGTTAAACTAAATAAGTAATTAAGATGGGCTTTTGGCAAGTACAATTCTTCCCAAGGTTACAATTACGGAACATGTTTATGTTTATGGTTCATTTGACTGGACCAATAAGTTATAAAGTTTATTTAAACCTCGGGAATTGAATACTTTTCTATCCTTCGCCATCGAATTTGTCATGAAACTTTTAATGCAAATAAAGAAGCGATGTTCGCCGTATGATTACTGCGCATTGTTATGTTTATTTATTTAACTTCTTAACTACACTCAATGATACGAAAATCTAGATGAGGGGAAGGAATTTTTTGATCAAAAAGTAGTTTCATGGCATCGATTTTAACAGATCCTAACAAGTTCTAACAAGCTGTTCAGTTTCCACCCCATGATTTCAAAAAACATACTTGGTGGTACAAAAATCGAGTGATCGTTATGGTCATGATAAGAGATTGTTCTGCAATAATATCGTTTGATGAATTATGATTGGATGATATATGAGTCAGACTTGACTATTATATCATCTAAAACAAAGTTTATGTATTGAAAAATAAATATTTAAATTACAAAACAATTAATTAGCAATATCATTATAATTTTGCTTTCAGGAAATCCATCAAATCAATTTTTAAATCCCAAATATCAATCGTTTTAATACATATAATAACGTAAGATAATGTGATGCCATAATTAATGATTCACAATCAATTATGATATTGACTGACATAACTTGTCTTATCTAATTGGGCTAGGCCGATCCTAAATTTATGTACATATAAACAATGAATGCGATTATGTTAGAAGTTGACCTTCAAAAAGTAACTGGTTCATATGTTCTTAAAAATTATATTGTATAATTAATTTCTTAATTTTTTGTTTTATTTGTTTAATTATTTATATTTTATTTCAATTAATTTGAAGATATTCTATCCTCATTTTTGAATTATTTATTAATATTTATTTAAAATTGTTTTTTTAGGGGTGGTACAAAAACATGTTACAGAATATAAATTATTCATCAGTAAAACAAATCTCACATCTTCTTCTAATGGTAATGAATATCTTACCAGATGGACTTTAACCCTGCTCTAACCACAATCGTGTTTATATAAAATCTACACAATCAATCTTAATCTTCTAAGAAACTCTTCAATCTATCTCTTCTTCCAAACCGTATTTTTAAATTAAAAATCAACACGCATTTATTAAGACAAATCCTAACTAAAGTCACTTTTGAATCTAATATGTTACCTAATTCAACAACGACTTAAATTTCAACGATATTGGCCTAAAAATAACATTTAAAAATATGGCAATATATGATTGTTAATAAAATTATTGTAAAAGATTTATTTCTATAACTGCCAGATGAGTTAATGAGTCACAAGATTCATGGTGTTCTAAATAATTTAACTTAAATTATAAACTAAATTTAATTGCAAACAAATCATCTACAAAATAAAAAATCATCTCCTATTATTGAGTATTGAAGTGTATTTGAAATTTTATAAATGCTATATATATGTTAAGATTGTATTAATATTGCATTTTCAACAAAAACCTCATATTTACTAATAAGAAAAAATGATTGATAATCAAGATAAAAGAAATTATTTTTACACTTTAACGTCTTAACAATAAAAGCAAAATTAGTTTTATTTAAAAAAAACTCATTTCATCATAAGTAGATAGATAGATTATTAAATTAGTAAACACATCATTATTAAAGTTGTATTTTTTGCACTATTTATTTCTATCAAATTGTGTCTTAGTATTTTCTTTTTTATTACTCCTAATATCATATTAAATAGATATTATTAATTTTATTTGAGTGATCTAGTTGTCTTCCTTTTTAATGGATGTCTACTTTTAAGCAAAATGGCTAATTGTTTCTGTTTTCATTATTTGGTGACGTTGCTTTTACATAACTATGTATTTATTTAAAAGAATAGGAAAGTACGTATTTCTGTATCACTGATTTAGTAATTTATATTTAGAACATAATATATTCCATAAATATTTTAATAATATATTTAGTACAAACAAATTATGTATTCTTCTCATTTTTTTTGGCGCTTTAAGTTTAATTCCTCAAGGAAATGAAATTTTATTAAAGGCTTTTTTTGTTGTGCATTATTAATAATTATTATAATACTTTAACGTATCATTTACGGGTCTGTAATAACTTATTGTTGATGTGTAAGAATGTTTGAGCTCAATAAAAACGTTGTTTATCCAATTTATTTTTGGTTTTATTTATTTCGTTTTTTCCTTATTCTTTTCTTCAGTATTTAATCGAAGCAGAATGGCCTGCACAAATTGGTATATGCGAACCTCGACGAGTTGCCGTTTTATCTTTAGCAAATCGAGTTGCAACTGAAACCGATTCCACAGTTCAAGGAGATATGGTTGGTTATGCTGTTCGATTTGATGCGTGTACTAATCAACCAAAAATAAAGGTAATAAAACTAAAAACATTATAATTCAAAGTATCCCAGATAATCAGTTCAAAATAGATACTTAACACCACCAAGATCTATTTAATCTTTAGTTAAATGCTTATTTCTGTTCATGTTTTCATCAACAACATCTTTGTAATAATGAAGTTCTTCATTTAAAAGTTCTTAATTAATTGGCAAAAAAGAAATAATATCTAAAATTAAGTCTGTATCTGATTATCTGGGACCATGTATTAGTAGTTATTTATATTACAAGTGGACTAGAAACATAATTACAGTACGAGTGTAGAGAATTGCACGACGAGGTCGTAGACCGAGTCGTGTAATCACACGAGTACTGTAATTATGCTCTAGCCCACGTGTGATATACAGCATTTTATCTACGACTGCTAAAAATTACTAAAAAATCAATTTCTTTAGAAAAGTCTATTTGACATTTATAAAAATATTTTGAAATGATTATTGACAATTTTGAATTGTCAGTTTCAACAACATGTTTACTCATCTGGAATAAGTGTTTTGAAATGTAAAAACATAACAATTAATGTTTATAATAAATAGTATTGTTTCTCTGTAAGCAGATAGCACTTTTTCTTTTGTATTGTTGCTCGTTTCAATAAATTAAGTCTCTTCTGATTAGGCTAAAAATGCGTTACGTAATGAAACCAGTGCGGTAATGAACTTCATTACGTAACTCAAATGAGTGCGGTAATGATGACTTATCCAAGCAGTCGTAGATAAAAATATTTTAATGTAATACAAATTTCTAAATATTTCAGTATATGACTGAAGGTATATTAATAAGAGAAATGATGACCGATCCTTTGTTGAAAAATTATTCAGTTATTATGTTGGATGAAGTTCATGAACGTACACTCTACACGGATATTCTTATGGGATTAATGAGAAAAATTCTTAAGGTAATAACATTTTAAAAACTTTTCTACTTATTAAATATTAAGAAAATGAACCCAATACACGTCAAATGATGTATTAACTCATTGAAGATCATAATAATCATTCAATAGCTACATCAAAGTTAAAAAAGTTATCTATTGGAAATGAGGAACAGTATTCTATGATTATAGAATAAAATGGGAACATAATTCTCAACAAGGAAAATATCCGAAACACTTCTCCTAACTTTACATTGCAATTTTATCTGTTTTGTTAATGTTAATGAGAAGCTCTCATTTATGAATCAATATTCTCAACTATTCCATCCATAATGATGAAACTTCTTGATTGTGATTATATTTGTATATCAACTGTTTTTAAAAATTTACTAAATTTACGACATTTACTTTCGTCGAGTAAATGTCGTCGTCCGACTAGTATTAAATTAAAATGCGTTTCACTGACGAAAATCTTCGTGAACTGAAGGCCCTGTTTAATGAGTTAATTGATGAGTTGATCAAGAGTGAATCATTTTTGTCTAGAATTGTAAAAGTAATTAAAGATCGTTTCAATGCGAAATTGGATGATTTAAAGACTCAGAATACTGACCTTCGGCGTGAAAATTAATTATTAAATGAAAAACTTGACAATATGGAATAATACACGCGCCGGAACAGCGTTCGAGTATTTGGTATCGCTGAACAAACCGAAAATGTTGAGGTTTGCATTGTTTCACTATTTAGAAATCAACTTGGTTTATCACTTTTTGAGACTGATATAGACTGTTGTCATCGGGTGGGATCGTTTATTGGCAAGAATAATAATCCACGACCCATTTTGGTTAAATTTGTTTCTTATAAATCTCGAGCCTTAGTCTGTAGATCTAGAAGTAAACTAAAGGGGACTAAGATTAGCATACAGGAGGACCTTACTGTACGGAATCATAATCTTTTGAAACAAGCCTGGGCTAAGTTTGGGAAGAGGAACTGTTGGTCGTATGATGAGCGAATTTATGTAAAAAATAATGTTGATTAGGCAATCTTCAGACATAATTAATGTCCAGCCCAGTAATCGACTTTCATTGGTCAGGTCAGAAGAAACCGCTTAGAATTATTTATTTATTTTTGTTTTCTTAACTCTGGTATTAAGCACTCTGGTATGCTTAATTTTCTATTTTTATAGCTATTGTTAATTTTTCCATTTTGTAGATATTCCTGAATAATTTTCCTTTTAGTGTTTAATTTGCTAACAATTTAATCTTTTTTTTTCTGTTCTCTCTTAAATTTAATTTGTTATTTTATTTTTTTTGCTTTATTAATTGCTTGAAACAAGCTGTTGTTTCTGATTATTATTACTTAGTTTTTGTTATCTTGATTGATTAATTATTATTAATTATATTGTGATGTTGGGACCCTTTCGCGTGGAGCATTTGAATGCGAGATCGATGATGGCCCACTTTAATGAACTTAGCGATTATTTATTGCAGTCAGGTTGTGATGTGCTGGGTGCTGGGTGTTTCTGAGACTTGGTTGAATGTTGATATATGTGATCAAATGATGTATGTCAAAGACTACAACATTTTTAGAGTGAATAGACAATCTAGGGGTGGTGGAGTAGCGTTCTTTGTAAGAGATTGTTAAACCCGATTGATATTCAGTTTGCGCTGGAAATTGAACAACTTTGGATTAAATTAGTTGTACAATTAAATTATGACTTCAAGTTATTTACTGAAATATTCGAAAAGTCTCTTTCGTTCGTGCATCCCTTAGGTGATGGTAGGTGGCTTTAACGTTAACTTCATGATTGAGAATCCATCTTCTGCATCTCTTAGAAGTGCATTTGAGATGTTTGACTTGCGTGAGGTAGTTGAGGTATCTTTTTATCTGATGGTCTGTTTGTTGTTAATTGTGGTATAATTGATCTTGGCTTCTCTGACAATCTGTTAATTTTTTATGAGCTGTCATTGCAAAGGGCTTGGGTTGTATCTAAGATGGCAAGATTCCGCAATTTGCGAGGTATTGTCATGGACGAGTTTAATAGGTATTTAGTTATTATGAATTGGGAGGCAGTGTATGACCTTTCTTCTATTGATGACAAGGTTAATTATTTTAACGAAGTTATGATTTCCTTGTTTGATGTCCATGCACCAATCGTTATTAGGACTCGAAAGAGGAACTCTTTGCCGTGGATTTCTGCAAATATAAAGAAGATGATAGCTCTTCGAGAGTCTGCTCTAAAGCGTTATAGGAGAACGAGAAATCCTGCACATTTTCAGTATTATAAGCAGTTACGTAATTTTGTTACGGGTGCTATTCGTCGTGAGAAATAGTATATTATTATATGAGCATATAATGATGGCTATTATTCACGAAGGTTAAGTTTATGTCACGAGCGTAGCGAGTTGCATAATTAACCTGAGTGAATAATAGCTCATTATATGCGAGTAGAATACTATACTTTGTCCACGACTATTGAAATTGATTCCATAAATTATTTTTTAAATAAATTTTTGAATAAAGGTTAAACGTCAATGTGACACAAATTCAATGTTACTAACTGTAACCAACTTCACAACAATTTGTCAAAATTAAATGTCAGTTTTATGAAACGTCGTTTTCTTTACGAAAATTAATTAATTTATGCTTAAATCATACGAAAAAAGGAATTTGTTTAGGTTTTTTTAATGTCAAACATTTATAAACTCCTAAAAAATTTAATTAAATTGACGTTTTTTTGAACTTTTAACGTTTCAAATAATTATTATTAGTCTGGTCAAGATGGCTACCCGTGAATAATGATTATTATTCACCGCTATTATTCACTCCGTGAAAAATTACTACCATTTTGTTTTAGAAAACTCATTCTTAAGGTATATATTATAAGGTAGTCGTGGACAAAGAGATTTTATTGAACGGAGTTGTATGATGGAAGGTTTTAGTTTGATGTGGAAGACTTTGAGAAAATTTAATCTTATTAGGTCGAATATCACTGATTTACCTCCCCACCTGGCTGACCCTGGTAGTGGCAACTTCTTTTTTTTTTAATCTGTTGCTGATGTTGTTATTAAGCCTGACTCGGAGTTATTAACATTCTATCATAGCCATCAATTAAATCCTGACTGTACTCCTTTTACCTTCAAGAAATATGGATTTTATTGAGCGGTATTTGCTTTTGTTGATGGTTAGGTTGTGTTGTCCACGTATTTTGAATGTTCTCTGTCATATTTTCAACTTTTGTCTGATAATGTCGGTTTATCCTAAGGCATGGAAATGTGGTCTGGTGACTCCTGTTCCTAAAACGAAACCAGTTAAAGAGCTTAAAGATTTGAGGCCTATTACTACCCTTCCGGTTTTGTCTAAAGTGTTAAAGAAAATTATGGCGGAGCAACTAAGATCCTTTTTAGATACTTATAATATACTACCAGATAAAAAATCTGGTTTTAGGAATCAGTATAGCTGTGCCACAGCGCTTCTTGACTTGACTGATGATATATATAGAGCTCTTGATGCTGATAGATCTACTGTGCTTGTGTTGCTTGACTTTAGTAAGGCATTTGATATCTTGAATCACGATCTTTTATTGGCTATTCTTAAATGTGTTGGTATGTCTGAGTGTGCTGTTTCTGTGTTTAAGATTTATGTGTTTGATAGAACGCAGGCGGTTAAGGTGGGGTCACAGTGTTTTGATTCTAATGAATTGGTTGCTGGTGTTCCGCAAGGATCTATCCTTGGTCCTATCTTATTTACAAACAAAAAGTTAAAGTATTGTTCTTATCATCTTTATGCTGATGATTCCCAACTGTATCTAGATTTTGAGCGATCGGAAGCTTGTGATAAAGTAACGAAGGATTTAAATCACTTATGTATGGAAATTAAGAGCCATGCTCTTTTGGTCAACTCTCACAAGACTCGATGAATTTTATTTACTAAAAAGGGCATATAGTTTATTTGTTAATAAGGATGATATTAATATTAGGATGCTTGGAGTACAGTTAGGACTAACCTAATTCGGTTAAGAGTTTAGGCCTTATTATTATTGATCAGCTTGCGTTTGGTGGGCATATTAATTTATTATGTAGGCGTGCTTATGGTTCCCTAAGAAGGCTCTACCGTAGTAAGACGTCATTATCGCAGGGTTTGAAACGACTCCTTTGTGATTCTCTTGTATTGTCTCACTTTAATTATTGTGATGTTGTATTTAGTTCATGTTTATCCCAGGAGAGTTTAAGGAGGGTTCAGGTCGAAGAGATGATCATGTATCACAAGTTTTGTTATCTAGTGACTGGCTCAATATGCGACAGGGGGTTGTGGTTCACTACTTTCATCTACGGTCTTATTACATCTGGCAAGTCGCCTTATCTGAGTCGTAAAATTATGTTCAGGACGGATGTTCGTAACTTGAATCTCCGGCACAGATTTTGTTTAAACATTCCTTCGCATAGGTCTTCAAAATTCAAGAGTTCATTTTCGTACCAGGTTGCTCGTTTTTGCAATTTCATTCCTGGTTCTGCGAGGTGTGCCGGCACGGTTCGTGCGTTCAAACTCATTGTTTTACGCGAGTAAATGAGTTAATTTCGTTTTCTGCTCTTGCACCCATTGAGCTTGAATTGTATATTTCTTGATTGATTCTTATTTTGTTATTTATTTTTTTGATTATAGAAAAGAAAAGAACTTCATCTTGTAGTAACATCAGCAACGATGGATGCAGAAGAAATATCCTCGTTTTTCAATTTAAATGAAACTAACGACAAAAAAATGGATACATCTGTTATTTTAAGTGTAACGGGAAGACAACATCCAGTTGATATTTATTACGTCAAGGGTATTATATTAAATATTTTTGCCACACATTTTTCTGTTTTGCTCCACCAGTTCCGACTTTATTGAGCCATCTTAAAGACCGTGTTATTTATCTTTCGATTCTTTCGTGTCTTTCACATCTCACACATCTCTTTGCAATAGTAAGATTTAAGTGCATTGAGTATTTTTACAAATTGTCAGTATACTTTCACATTCTCCATGAAAAATGCTGGAAAGAAGTCTATGTTCAAATATATTGATCCAACCATGAGTTCTGTGGACTTTACCACTTGGTAAGCAAGCTTGTGATAAATCAATGAATCAAGTCTTCTTATCAGTTTTCCTAGAAAATGTGTCTACATGCAAAGTTTAAACTAATAATTCAAATTGTAAGTCTTCATCTTAACTTACAACTTTCCTTTAAAATAGGATACTTATCTTTACTGATTACCTCAATGTCTACCATAAAAATATTGTCACGAAGATGGAACAATATGGTCGAAATTGGTTGTGCAAAATTTTATATAGTACAAATTAAAAATTGTTGCAATTATTTTTTTTATAGATCCTGTCCCTTGTTATTTACAAGCTACAGTAGAAACTGTTCTTATGATTAATTCTAGTAAAGATAAAGGAGATATTCTCGCATTTCTTACTGGCCAAGAAGAAGTAGATAAAGTTGTGCGCCTCTTAACCGAACACGCAAATTTAATCGAACAAGAACGAAAACAACACAAAATGATCATTTTTCCTATGTACGGAGCTTTAACAAATCATGATCAATTAAAAGTATTTAAACCACCCCCAGATGGTTATCGAAAAGTAATTGTTGCAACTAATATAGCTGAAACGTCGGTTACTATTCCAGGAATTACATTTGGTAAGTTTAAAGTAAAAAAAGTTTAAATTAAAAACGCTTACATTAAAACAATATTTTTGATTTTTAGTTATTGATTGTGGTTTTTCGAAATCGAAATGGTTTAATAATGAAACTCACACAGATAGTTTAATTATAACACCAATAAGTCAAGCTTCAGCAAATCAAAGAGCTGGTCGAGCTGGGCGTTTACGACCAGGAAAAGCTTATCGTTTGTACACCGAAAAAGATGCGATAAATTTAGCGACAACAATGCCACCAGAAATAATTCGTACAAACCTAAATTACGCTGTTCTTCAATTAAAAGCTTTGGGAATAGGAAATTTGATGAAATTTTCTTTTCCAAACCCACCTCCAGCAAAAAATTTAAAAAGCGCTTTAGAAATTTTATACGCTTTAAACTCAATCGATATAAACGGAGATTTAACCGATCCTTTAGGTTTTAATATGGCCGAATTTCCATTAGATCCTATGTATTCGAAATTGTTATTAAATTCTGGCGATTTTGGTTGTTCAGAGGAGATGTTGACGATCGTTTCGATGCTTCAAGTCGAGACGGTTTTCGCTAAACCAACGACTGGGAATGGAATTATAAAAAGTAGAATACAAAAGCGACATTTTGAAGTTGAAGAAGGTGATTTGATGACTTATTTAAATGTTTACGGTGGTTTTGCAAACAATAATATGGATAGAGGTTTTTGCCAGAAGTATTTTTTAAATTATAAAGCAATGAAAAGAGTTGCTGAAATAAGAAGTAGGTTAGAAAAAATGATTAGGAATTATAACATTCCTCTTGTATCAGCTAATGGTAAGTAATTTTTGATTTGATTGATGATTTTGTTAATTAATCTTTGTTTTCATTTTAGGTAAAATTGAACCTGTGTTGAAATGTCTTGTATCAGGATTATTTCCAAATACAGCTTATTTACATTTTTCTGGAACGTATAAAACTATTAGAGGTGATGTAGAACTACACATTCACCCTGATAGTGTTTTATATACTTTACCACAACCCCAATGGGTGTTGTTTGCTGAAGTTTTGTTTTCTACTAAACTTTACATGCGAGATTTAGCCGTTATTAATAGTGATTGGTTGTTGGAAATTGCTCCTCATTTCTTTCATAAAACTATTGATAGAGAATTTGATTAATTTATAAGATTTTTCATTGAAATAAATACATAACATTTTTGTACTAACTCGTCTTTTTACTCACATCTAGTTTGGTAAAATTTATGGCCCAAGTGGAAAAAAGTAGATATGACTCACCTAAAGAATACATTAAAACTACACATGATTTTTTAATGTAGTTAATGATAAATTATTATATGGAGCTAAAAGGTGGAAGGTAATACTACACAATATCTATCAAATTAACATCAGATAACAGAAAACATTTTGACACTTACTATTCTTATCAAAATACTGAAGGGGTTACAAGCAAAACGGTACAAATGTATTTTTGACGCAAAACGAGTTTTGGTGAGGGTATAGGAGTTAAAAAAGTAAACTTACTTAAAATAACTACAAATTGTTGGAAAAATTTTAAAATATGTTGGGAATAGGATGAGTTTTAGTTTTCTTTCTTAAAATACNCTTAACACATTCAAATGACGGCAAAATATGTTATGATATAATATATAAGTTGGGAAATTTAGATTTTTACTTAACCATTTAATAAAATATCCTCTATCCAAGGAAAATAAAATTAAAGAAATGAATTTTATACAAAATTTAGCCAAACAAAACAAATTTCCTTTGAAAATTATTAACAATCTTTTTAATAAAATATATATTCATTCCTTTATATTCGAAACCCGAAAAAGAACTCAACATTTATAAACCTATTGACTTTAATGATATTACCTATCATTCCAAATTCATCTTTTCTAAATACAACATTTCTTTAGCCTTTTCCAATAGGAACAACATACTTAATATCTTTTCTAATTATCATTACAAGACTAATAGTAAAATGAAAGAAAATGGTGTGTATTCAATCAAGTGTTCTGAATGTAAAAGTGTATATATTGGCCAAACTGGCAGAAAACTAGAAACACGTATCCATGAACACAAAACTAAATCTAATTCTAATGTTTTTAAACACGGCAAAGAAACGGGCCATGAAGTTGATTATGAAAATGTATCACTCTTACACAAGTGCGATAAAGGTTTTAAACTTGATTTATTAGAAACCCTAGAGATTAATAAACATAAAATTTACAACGATAACATTTTATTTAATGATCAAGTTGAAATTCAATATAAACCTTTGTTTATGTATTTGAAATGACGAATTTTTTGGTTTCTGTTCCCATTGTGCAGTCGTTAAACTTGTTTTAAAGAGGGGGGTTTTTCTTCTATATCGTTCCTTAGTCTTGCAATTTCTCTTCACGGACAATGTCCTTCTTGGAATTTATTTTATAAGAAAAATTTTCGAATGTTATATGTCTAATTTAGTATTTTCATTTTGCGACATGTATATTTTTACATCAATATTATATGTTTTATATAGTTTCATGGACTGTAAGTTTTTTTAACATTTATTTATATTTTAACGTGTATGTTTGTCTATTTTACATCTATTTATAGTTTCAGACTGATGATGGGGTTGAAAAAAGTAAGTCAAGCTTCAATGATTAAGGTTAGTAATGTATCAGTTCATCATTTCTACCTGTTTAACCAATGTAATATATTTTATTGCATTCGTTACAGGTTATTTTGTAAACACCATTCAGTAGATGAAAATGAAATTTGTGCTTGTTATTAGTGAATAAATTGGAAATTTTGGTCGTGTTTTTGGTGGCTATGTTTATGTTATTTTTTTTGGTTATGGGATGTAGTTGATTGATTATAGGGTCGTATTTCGAAATACAAATATATTTGGGTGGGAGTTTAAAGTGAGGATAAATGACTGAAATGATTTTATTGTTATGAACTTTGTAGAATATGTTTTGTAAATCTTTAATGTTATAACCGGCGTTGTTCAGGTCTATTTTTATAATATTAAAAATTTCGGAGTTGAAATTTTCAGTGCTAAGGGGTGTGTTGATAGCTCTATGGAAGAAGAATCTGAACGCTATAATTGTGTCAGTAGTGGTGGGTTTCCAGAAAATATTGAAGGTGAGAGAAGAATTAGATGTGTTTTTGGAGATTGTTAAGTCAAGAAAATTGATATTATTATTAATTTCTTTTTCAAGGGTAAATTCAAGGTTACTGAAATTGTTTATAAGATTAAATAAAGTTATTAAATTAGCATCGGAACCGTCATAAAGTATGAGGATATCATCAACATATNTTTGGTGTGGGTATAGGAGTTAAAAAAGTAAACTTACTTAAAATAACTACAAATTGTTGGAAAATTTTTAAAATATGTTGGGAATAGGATGAGCTTTAGTTTTCTTTCTTAAAATACAAATTATTTCCAAAAAATTTTTTTACAAAAATCAAAAACAAACAAAATCCTTTAAATTTCTTGAAAATTAACTTATGTTAAGGGTATGATCATAAAACATTATATTAAGATTATTTGTACGAGCTGACAAGGGAGCTGGAGTTGTTATTTTAAATAAAGAGACCTATAATAGTAAAACTTATGATTTCATGAAAAACAGTAACTATATCAAATTTAATTATAATCCTCTTGACAGAGTTATACGTAAAACTAAAGACATTATTAATCATTGTAAAGACACTTTGATTGAACATACCCTTATCTGAAAGATTCAAAATTTAATTATTTCTTATTCTACGTCTTATTTTACAAACATGAATCCTATGATCCCAAGACTTTATTCACTTCCTAAACTACATAAAGAAGGTATGCCCATGCGTCAAATTACAACTTTTTTAAAATCCCCTACTCAAAAACTAGCTAGTTTCATGCTTAGTATATTTAAAATAATCAATTTCAAACCTAAATACTCAGTCCAAAATTCTCTTCAATTCATAGAAAAAACTAAACACATCAGTTNTAAGATTAAATAAAGTTATTAAATTAGCATCGGAACCGTCATAAAGTATGAGGATATCATCAACATATCTACAGTAAAATTGGATATGTTTAGTCGAAAAATGATTAGTTAAGGAAAATATTTGAGATTCTAAGTTGGAAACATAAAAATCTCCTAGAAGGCCAGAAAGGGGTGAACCCATGGGTAAACCATCGGACATTTCATAAAAATGGTCATTAAATATGAAATATGATTTTAAATACAGGGTGTCACACAAAAAACGCCCCAAGCTGTAACTCTGTTATTTACATTCCGATTTTCATGACTCAGGTATCAAATGAAATGGTTTTATAAATACTACGATTCATGCTACAAATAAATTTTTTCCAAGGCCATCTTCAATTTCAAGCGACTATTAACTTTTGTTTTTTAAATTGCTCCGTATATTTTTCTTCGCGTGATTGGATACAGATTGTTTTTCTAAATCCATTGAAGTACAATACATCTATTTTGAATGTAATTTTAGCAAAGAAAAGACACCTGTATATACAGGTTGTCACAGAAGAACGGCACAAGCTGTAACTCTGTCATTTACATTCTGATTTTCATGAGCGAGGTATCAAATTAAATGGTTTGATGAATACTATGATTCATGATACAAATAAACTTTTTCCACCGCCATCTTCAATTTTAAGCGATTATCAACTTTTGATTTTCAAATTATTCGGTAAGTTTTTCTTCACGTTATTCGATAGAGATTTGTTTTCTGAACCCATTAATGTACAATACATCAACATTAATTGTAATTGTAGTAGAGAAAAACATTAAAATACTTTCTGCACATTGTCTTAAAGTCACTTGTATGTACTCGTAACAAACAACTTATAAATGTCATTTACAACTGCTTCGGGCATTGAAATAACATTTAATGACTGTTATCACTATTAATTTTGCGTGTTATAATCGCTTGAAATTGAAGATGCTGCGTTCTTATGTGACAACCTGTATATATAGGTGTCTTTTCTCTGCTAAAATTACGTTCAAAATGGATGTATTGTACATGAATGGATTTAGAAAAACAATCTCTATCCAATAACGTGAAGAAAAATATACGGAGCAATTTGAAAAACAAAAGTTAATAATCGCTTGAAATTGAAAATGATCTTGGAAAAAATTTATTTGTAGCATGACTCATAGTATTTATAAAACCATTTCATTTGATACCAGATATATTATAAATAACAGAGTTACAGCTTGGGGCGTTTTTTGTGTGACACCCTGTATATTGATTAAATTATATACATCATTGTTTGTTATGTTTATTGAAAAGTTGTTATTGATTTCAGTTCTGTTGGAAGTGAGAAAGTTTTTTATAATTTTTAGGGACATTAGTGTATAAATTTTTTATGACTAGGGAAATGAGTTTACTACTTTTGTTGATTTTTACGTTTCCGAGTTTAGAAATTAGTTCAGAAGAATTTTTTATAGAATAAATAGATTTGAAATGAAAGGAATTAGTTAGAATATAGTGTCGAGTTTTAGAGATAAGGTGGCAAGGAGAATTAATGTCGCTAACTATGGGTCTGATGGGATTGTCTGTCTTGTGTAATTTTATCAAACTATGTAAGGTGGGATATGTAGAGGGTTCATGGGTATGTATTTTTTGATCGAGGGAAAAAATTTGTTTAAGGTATTTGAAGACTTTTTTAGTATATTTTTTAGTTTATTAGTAAAAGAAGGAGGAGGGCCTTTTGGAGCATGGTACTATTATTATCATTAAAGAAAGATAAAGTTTTAGCTATATATTCAGGTTTATTAAGCAAAAATATTATTTCGGTACTTGTACTGTTAATATAATGTTTTATGATCACACCCTTAAAATTAACTTATGAATTTCCAAGAAATTTAAAGGATTTTTTGTTTTTGATTTTTGTAAAAAAATTTTCTGGAAATAATTTGTATTTTAAGAAAGGAAACTAAAACTCATACCTATTCCCAACATATTTTAAAATTTTTCCAACAATTTGTAATTATTTTAAGTACTTTTTCAACTCCTATACCCTCACCTTTTACCATTATTATTGTCGTTCCGTTTAACGTTTGTTAATTTTTCCTGTTTTCCTAAAACAGGTACTGAAGATGAAACATTTGTTTCGAAACATGTTTACTTTTTGAAATAATTAAGTACTTTTAATATTTCTCACAAAAAGTTTTTACTTTTTCCTATTTTATTATTTAGTTTTTTG